TGTGCGCACGCGGGAAGGGAGTAAAGTGATTCAGCCAGTAAAGGTACCCTATTGTCAGATTGTGAAGTACTTTAAATGTCAAGTACAGGAGTTTTTGTTTTATCCTAAGGGCAGTTGGGAACCACCAAAGCTTCTTGAACAGGGTGGTGATGTGATTTGATCTATACTTTGGGAGTATCAATTGAACGTTTTGTAGAATGTCACCTGGAAAGGGGAGAAACTGCAGGTGCTCAAACCAATTAGGTTACTGCACTAATTTAGATGGGATTGATTGTGGTGTGAGTAGATAGAAAGGAACAGTGGAGGAGATATTGAGGAGGTAGAATCACTAAGATTTGATAACTGGATATGGGGGTGAGGTGAGAGAGCAAAGACAATGATGTCTGAATGTTGGTTCTGAATGTGGGTGACTGGAAGAATAACTTGGGCGTCAGTAGGCTGACTGCAAGCCCCTTGTTGAACCAGCAAGGGAAGCCAACAGACTAACCCATCCCGAGATGATCTAGGCCACGGGCCCTGGATGCCAATGGCTAGGCTTCCTGAGGCCTGGTCTTCCGAAGGCTGAGGCTAGAGGTGTGTTTCGGGGACTTCTCGTGACTCTTTCCCAAAAATTTGGCTTGCTTCTAATGCAGCCTGGAAGCTTTCATAAAATGAGTATTTATAATAAATCACTTCCTGATATGTTGGTTGCTAATCACTAGTTCCAAGGTATTCAAAGATTAATTTGTTTATTTTCAAAACCACATCTAAACATTGGAATTTAATTGGAGAATCATTGTCTTCAATCTGTCAGTTCCTCAATCAAGTAGATTTTGGGCTCTTAGCACATGCAGGACAATGTGCTAGGCATTGAGTGCATGCCCTCTGGGAGCTTTCAGTGCAGGCTAGTTGTAGGAGGCAAAGCTCGGGCATGGACAGTTCAAAAAACAAGACAGTTGAAGAAAAGCTTTTTAATCAATTAATTAAGAATTAAGGCTTTTTAATCAATCAATTAATAGATATTGTTCAAATATCTATTATGTGCCAATTCCTAGAGATATAGAGAAAAAATGAAATGATCTGTGCCCTGAATGAGCTAACATTCTCCTGGGGAGTTAGAGGGTGGTGGTGGAGAATGTACACATGGAATATACACATCTACGTATCTACACATGTGTGTATAAAATAGCTACAAAATGAATCCAAGGCAATGGGAAGGGAGAGGCATTAACTGCTGAAGGGGTTGGGGGCATCATTAATTGGTGCTTGAGCTGAGCTTTGGAGGAAACTAGGACTTCTAAAGAACAAAGGTGAGGAGGCAAAGGGGATCACCAGGGCAAAGGCTCTAAGAGGGGAGAAGGAGAGTCCTTATGTAAGGAATGGTGGGAAGGCTATCTTGGCCCTCTGTTGTTGTTTCCCCCAATAGAATGTAAGCTTCTTGAAGGCAAAGATTGTTTCATATTTGTCCAAGGCATGCTGCCTCACCCTCTCCACCTTACTTTTTGATGTTTTCTTCTTTCTCTTGGAATATGAGTTCCTTGAGGAGAGGAATTATCTTGCTAACTTGTATTTGTATCCCTGGCCCTTAGTATAGAGCCTGGTCCATAGTAAGGGTTGAGCAAATCATCTGTCTGTCTGTCTATCTATCTATCTATCTATCTATCTATCTATCTATTTACCTATCTATCTATTTTCCTGGTTATTTGTGTATCCTTTTATCTATCTTCCTATCTATCATCTATCTATCCAGTCATCTAATCAATCTATCCATCTGTCTATCTATCTTATCTATCTATCCAGCCATCTACCTTTCAATCAATCGATCAATCAATCTTTTGAACTATTTTTCTGATTATTTGTTTATCCTTCTATCTACTTATCTATCATCTATCCATCCATCCATCTAATCTATCTACCTATCCATCCATCTGCCTTTCAATCTCTCTCTCTGTCTCTATCTACATATCTAGTTTTCTGATTATCTGTCTTTCTACTTATCTATCATCCATCTATCCATCAAATCTATCTATCCATCCATTCATGTCATCTATCTACCTATCCATCCATCTACCTTTCAATCAATCAATCAATCTATCATCTGCCTATCTCTCTATCTACCTACCTACCTACCTATCCAGTCTATCTATATAGTTTTTGTATTTTTAGCATCTTGAACAGTGTCTGGTACATAATGCAACCACCAGAGATTGATTGATTATAGACTATCAAAGCTGGAATGAATCTCAGAACACACACTTTTAGAAAATTGAATGCTAGATCTGGAAATCACCTTAGAACAAAGAATGTCAGAACTGGAGGGGACCTTAGGGCATAAGATGTCAGCACTTTGAAGAAGCCTTCTGGGCCATTCCCCTCTCATTTTGCAAATGAGAAAACCAAGGCCACAGGGGAAAAGTGGTTTGTCCAGGGTGGTAAAACTCCAGGGGATCTGAAGCCACTCCTTCTGACTCCAGAGCCAGTGCTCTCTTCCTTATAACACATGCTTCAGAGAAGGGGAGAGTCACAAGGATTGTAGCAGTAGGAGAAGAGTTCCTAGAGGAGATAAGACTTTTTTGGAGAATTGGTAGGATTCCCTAGGTGAACGTTGTGACCAGAGGTGTGAAGGGACACTGCTTGTAAATGAGGGAACTAGAATGTTGGAGAGGAGGGGGGCTTAGGGCTAGATTGGTAGGGTGGAGGAAAGTCCAATGTTTGAGGGCATGAGATTGATAACCAGAAGGATGCAGCAAGGTTGTGAGTGGATAGGTAGCCAGGCCTGGCATCAGAGAGATCAGAGATCAAATCTGGTCTCTGACACCTACTAGCTGTGTGATCCTAGTCAAGTCATTTCATCTCTGTTTATCTTAGTTTCCCCATATACAAAAAACAGCACCTACCTCCCAGGGTTGATGTACAGATAAATGAGGTAATAATTGTGATGTACTTAGCACAGTGCCTGGCACATAGTAATTGCGACATAAATATTAGCTATTATTGTTATTAATCCTCACAATCACTTTCTATCCTATGAGTCCCTTCTAGGACTAACATTCAGTATTCTAAAGATCTATGTTCTAGGATCCCTTTCAGCTCCCCTTGTACCCCCCTGCAACATGCATCCCTCAGAGTCTGATGATTGGTGACCCCTGTGTGGCCACTCCTATGATCATGCCTGTTAGAATTCCCAGAAATCCATGAAGCCCGTGAGCCTATTCTTTTATAAAGAGGCTACTGTTGTGTTTGGTTGATGAGGTTGGCATAACCTCAACTTCCTACCCTATTCTTGGGTATTTCAGCTGTCCCCTACAGCCCTGGTAGGGCAGGAGATGGCCTGATTGGCTTCTAGTTACCAACTGTGGACCAACCCACTGTGGGACACAGAAGCCAATGAGGCCACACAAAGGAAGACATTGACTTAAGATTTTTCCCTGCTTGTCTTTGGGATGGGCTGAACAGATTTGACCATGTACTGTACATAGCTACAGTGTGTGGTTGGCTACAACAGCTGATTTGAGGCATGAAAAAATTCCTCTGTGGGAGAAAAAAAAAATGATCACAATTCACTTATCCAGAAGTCATTGATCTGATAACCTTTCCAATTTGGAATACAGCTGATAATCCAGAAAAGAGCTACTCAATTCTCAGCTACTTTAGCTACTCTGAAGCCTTAAAAATGTTTTATTGATAGATTGTTTTTACATTGCCCATATTTCTCCCTGTGTCTCTTACCTTCTCCCCTCTCAGAGAGCCAGAAACTTTCTTTTTATATCACAAATGTCTGTGCCATAGAGCTCATATTCTTTACTCATTGGGGAGTGCCTCAGATTCTCATTCAGAATCCACTGATTCTTATTGTACACACAATTCTAACAGTCATAGTTAATCACATTTCCTAGCCCATAGTAGTTTAATAGCAGCGCATTAGAAGGGTGAGTGAGACCAGCTCAAGACCGGCTAAAGATGTAACAGACAGTAGGGAGAAGTGACAGCAGCTGACAGCAAGAGAAGAATAAGAAATAATATGAGAAGAATAAAAAAAGAAAATAAAAGAATAACAGATCAGGAAATGAATAAAAAGCAGACACAAGCACTCAAAAACTATTGTGTGCTTGGGCCGTTTAATGTAGCAGCAAGAGAGCCTTGAAGGTATTGCCATATTCTAGTGCAGCCTAATTATTGATGTTTATATTGGTGACCTCCCAAGTCAACAAGAAAAGATCAAATTATATTCAGAGAGCTTTTTTTATAAGAAGGTAGGAAATGTACTTTAAAATTTTGTTTCCATTCATGGGTCAAGTACAAAAGTGATTTGGCCTTTAAAAAGGTATGTTCAGTTATTTGGCAAGTTCATCTGTGTGGAGCAATTCATTGCCTCATGATAGGGATAAGTGATGGATTATTGTACATAGAGTTAGTGTGCTTTCATTTTGTATGAGTTGAGGATCGGTGGAAGGGCATATTATGGGATGGCGAAAAAAGGCCGTAGGACCACAGACAGCTAAAAATACCTTAGAGGACACTGAGTCCAATCCCATCATTGAGAGATGAAGAGACTGAGAATGGCTTGCCCTGGGTCACACGGCTTGCAAAGTGTCTGAAGTGGGATTTGAACCCAGGCCTTCCTGACTCTAAGACGGGATGGGGTAGGAGCAATGGCTTCCTCTTTCTTTTCGCATTAGTCCTGGAAGGCTTCCTAGATAAGCTTCATTGTTACTTGAAGGAGGACCTTCCCTCCCCCATGGGCCCAGCTAGGTAGGTACCTTCCTGGAGTCTCTCCAGTGACTGGCTCATGTGACCTGTTCCCATTTGACTTTTCCGTTCCCTGGGCCTGGCTGAGTTTATAAAATAATTCTGAATCCTTTTTTCCCCAGCTCTCATTGTTTGTAGTGTACAGTCCTGAATTACAGTAAGTTCTTAGAACAAAAGAAGTTCCAGGTAATGGAGGATGAAGTCATTTTGCTGATAGGATCAGAAACATTATTTGAACAGTAGCCGAGTGAAATGAGAAGGAAATCGGGGAGCTGAGAATTACCCCATTGAGCCCTGTTGTCTTTGGCAGGGGGCAAGTACTCTGCCAAGTTGTGAGCCTGTGACTTATGGTAGTCGCACTCGGCTGGCTCGCGTCCTCCACGAGCTCCCCCTTCCCGGAGTTCCAGAACCAAAAGGGAAGAGGTGCAGGCAGTGCTCGAGAAGAACCGTGGATTGATCACCTTGTCCAGAGTGGCCAAGAACTCAGATCTGGCCCTGTCCAGAGGGAGGCCTGGAGACTTGTGGCAGAGATCAGATGATTCTGGCTGTGAGTCTGGGGCTGTGCCTTATTGAATGGAAGAGAGGGCTGCGGAGCTCACTCTTCGACTTCCTTCTGGGGTATGAGTGTGTGGGTGGCGTGGCGGCCCGACCTCCAGAGGAGATGGGCTTGCACCGAAGCGTCCTCCACGCTGGCTTGCCTGGGTTAACGTGCCAAATGGATTGTAGTGATCTGGTCATTGTGTTCCTTGTCGTGCATGAGGGGTCAGGGGAGAAATTTCTGACTCTTTTACCTCGTGGATAGGTCCATGGTCAGTTTCACTTTGGAGAGAGTGCTGAATGGCGTTTCTGGGAGAGCGTGGCCTTGTTCAGACATATCCTTAACAGACTAGAGAAGAAACTACAGTAGCAGGGGTTGGGGCTGGGGGGAGCAGAGCTCTTTTGGGGCTCAGTCTTCAACTACAGAATATGTTTTGGTTTCCAAATCTCAGAATGACCAATTGAGAGGGGACTTTAGTGATCATCTTGTCCAAGTCCTACATGTTATAGATAAGGAAGTGGAGTCTCACGGAGGAGAGACTTATCCACTGTCACCTAGCAACTTACTGCCCCAGATCTGAGGTATGAGGACCTGATTTCAAATCTCAGCCTTGTCACTCACTCTGTGTTTCCTCATGTGAAAGATGAAGAGTCGATGATTTCTAAGGTCTCTTTTACCTCTTAATCTATTCTCTTTTGATTCCAGGTCTCTTGACTAGTACCAGCATAGTGCTTCACGCACACTAAACTCTTAAAAAATGTCGCTTAATTGATTGATTGACTGATATCGAGTTGAATGCCATTTAAACTAGAGGCATCCACTGCCTCATCGGCCTTGAAGCAACGTCTTGCTCTGGATGGTGGTTGGTAGAAGTGAAGGAATTCGATAAATAAACCTCAATCTTTGCTGTTTGGACTTTTATTTCATGATTATTTCATTTAGGTCAATTATCCAATGCACTGAATAGAATACTGGGCTTAGGGTCAGGAGATTTGTCAGAGAGCCTCTGACACTTACTAGCTATATGACCTTGGGTGAGTCCCTTAATCTTAGATGGCCAAGCCACACAGTAGATAGAGTGATGGATGTGGAGCTGGGAAGACTCAAGTACAAATCCAGCCTCAGACACTTATTAGCTATGTGACTGGCCAAGTCATTTACCTCTGTCTACCTCTAGGCAACAGGGTTAAGTGACTTGCGCAGGGTCACATAGCTAGTAAATGTTATGTGTCTAAGGCCAGATTTGAACTCAGATTCTCCTGAGTTTGGGGCTGGTGCTCTATCCACTGCGCCACTGCCCCCACCATTTTTAAATCTATGGTCTTATACAGTCCCCTATATGTAAAAAAATAGAACTTTAATATTTGGAAAATTTTCCATACATTATCTTATTTAGGCCTCACAACAGCCCTCTAAGAGAGGTGCTATTATTCTTCTCATTTTACAGATAAGGAAACTGAGGGTAAGAGCAGTTAGATGACTTCTCCAAGGTCACACAGCTACTAAGCATCTGAGACAGGCTTTGATTTCAGATCTGTCTGAGTCTAAGTCCAACACTCTAACTACTATATCACTCCAAGCCTCAGTTTACATGTCTGTAATATAGGGATGATCATAGCACCTACCTCATAGGCGTTTTTGATATCTAAAGGAGGCCACTGGGAATGGTAACCAGAGACTGGAATCAGGAAAGCTTCAAATCCCTGCCTCTGACATCTCCTATATAAGGATGGGCAAATTCTTTAATCTCTCTGAGACTCAGTTTCCTCATCTGTAAAATAAAAGGGCTGCCCTAATTGGTCTCTGAGGGCCCTTCCAACTTTGAATCTCGGTTCCTATAAGCACTCTGCCAATTTTAAAATACTATATGAATGTCAGCTATTCTAAGCTTTTTGATGGGCGGAAAGTTTCCTTTCTGTGTTTGTATTCCCAGCCTTTCACTGAGCTCCTGGCATATTTAGATACTTAATAAATGTTTGTTTGCTTAATTATTATGTTAATGCTAGGGATGACTAGATGACAAAGCTTCACCAAGTCTTAAAACAACTCTAGGAGGTAAGTAGAGTATCCTGATCCCCATCTTACAGATGAGGAAGCAGAGTCTGAGTGTTGAGGTCATCGCCACTGGCCACACATTAGCAGAGCTGGAGGAATTCAGGTTTCCTAGATTATAAATCTGTTTGCTCATTACACTGAGCCTCTGTTTTCAAATCACTGAGCAAGCTGTCTGAGGGAGGAGAAGCAGACAAAGGTCACTGCCATCTAGCACTGTTCCTGAACTCAGAGTAAAGAGAAGGACTCATTTTGCTTCCTTTGTGATTAGGAGACCCTATCTTCTGAGGGTGCCCAGTGAGAGCAGCTCCATCACAGGGCACTGCATTTGGAGTCAGAGGACCTGAGTTTCCATCCTGGCTCTGCTCCTGACTACCTGTGGAACTCTGGGCAATTTGATTAACCTCCTTGCTCCTCGGTTTCCTCATCTGTAAAATAAGGAGGTTGGAGTATGTGACCTGTAAGGTCCCTTTCAGCTTGAAATCCATGCTCCTCTAAATCCTAGTACCCTCTGGATTGTACCAGTACCTTGATCAATGGAGTCAATGGTCCCTAATGCTTCTTCCACCTCTATTTTTATGATGCTTATAATCAAAGGCCATGTGGAGCTGAGACAGGAGGCACATTTGCCGCCTGGAGTTATCACCTCTCAGAAATAGTTCTATTCAGCTGGCCTGGGAACTAACTGGGGGAGGCTTAGGGCAGGACCTCTGTTTTGCGGGAGGAAGGGGACTTGGATCCCTTGAGAGTCATGTCTAGAATTCAATAGACTCCTTCTTTTCCCACCATCTTGGAACCACCCTTGCCTTTTGTTTCATTTACCAGTTTTCCAAGATTAAGTATAAATAGACTTGTAGCCATAATTCCTCCCAGGGGAGGGATTACCCCTTGCATTTGTATAATTCCATTCCCCCCCCCCACCCCCCTCATGTTTTTCTCAGGAATTTGCTGACAATAGCTGACATTTAAGAAGCACTGAGGTATTCTGAATGGAAAGCTGGCCCAGGATTCAAGTCTTTTCCTCTGATTCTTACTGCCTGTAACTAGACCTCTCAGTGTCCCTAGAAACTCTCCTAGCCTCTGAGTTGCAGAAAAAGCTGTCATCTTGATTGTTAGGGGGAATCCCTCACTAAGAGCACCCTATACAGATGAAATCATAGATCTGGGGAAAAAAAGAAACTACGGCCATTTATGCAGGTGTCCCATAAAGCTTAGGGCATTTTGAGCTATTAAAATTTAAAACTACCCTAAGAAATTTGGGACCTCCAATGTAGTGTTTTAAAGTTTGTGAAATACTTTATGTAGATTATTCATTTCATCCTCAACTATTATTATTCTAATTTTCCAGATGAGGAAACTGAGATTTGTAAAGTGACTTCTCAGGATCCCCTACCTACTGTCCAGAAGTGGGATTTGAATTCATATCTTCCCAACTTCAAGCCTAGCAGCACTCTCTCCACTATGCCATGCTCTTCCTTTAGAGACTGCATCTGGTGGGATTGCTCCTTCTCCTGGGAATCCTGTCTTTAGTCAACTGAGAATGTGTTACTTTCTTGAATATATTGCTCCGCCCCAGTAGCAGCCACGGTCTTCTCCAGAGGAATCTTCTGAAGGCTTTAAGTACTGGGCACTGTGGGTTCAGTCTTCTCATTCCAAACCAGATGGAATTCATTCCATGACATTGCTGCCTCTTGGAGGCCTCTTTCATTTAGGACCATAGCTAATGCAGAAAGTGAAATTTGAGGGGGACTTGAAGGAGGTCTAGTGGTTTTAGCAAAGTCTGTTTCATGACCTTGCCTGTATTCCTGTGACTGCTTGCCTTCGGTCATAGCTCCTGTAAATCGGAAAGAGTTCATAGACATTAGAAATGGAAAGGACCCTAGTCTGACATTTAGTCTGATCCCTGCTTTTTCACAGAAGAACTTGAAGCACAGGAGGGAAGTGATTTGCCCAAGGTCACACACAGGGTGTTATTGGTGGAATCAAGACTAGAATCCGGGGCTCTGCTCTGCCACTCCAGGGCTCTCTCCTCTTTACTGAGCTTCGCTACCTCATGGGCATCTCCCTGCCCCATCTCCCTGCCCTCTCCCTGTCATCTGTGTGACTAGCCCCAGATCTCTGCACGTGAATGTGCAGCTTCAGTATGTGTCTTTGTGGTCAAGTACACTTGCTGCTGCAGACATACATTACTTCTCTGGTTTCTGTCTTCCAGAGAAGCCCTGGCAACTTCCCCTGTCAAGATCCTGTTGTTTTTGCTCATTGGACTCCTTATTCAAATACTTCCCTGTTGCCCATTGAGGTGTTAATTAGAAACCAGTTTTCCCACTGTACTTGGTGTTCGCCAGCCAAGGATTGGTCTCTCAGTATTTCTTGGTCTCCACCCCTCTCCTCCCTACCAGCCCTTCTCCTGCCTTATCTTTCCTTTCCATTGGCAAATGTGCCTTCCTGCCCCTGCCCATTTGTGTGTCTTCCTGAATGGGGAACTGGGAAGAGTACTCAGGCAAGGCTCAGTGATTAACTGGCAAGTCGGGCAAAGATGTGATTGGGGAGGTGGCCTTGTGAGGCAGCATGAGTCATGACAAGGGCATCTGAGAGACCTGGAGTCCAGTTCTAGAAAGTTCATTACCTAGCTGTGTGACTTCAGATCAGTCACTTAAACACTCTGGACCTCAAATCCTTGCCTTTATAATCCCTAAGTTTCCTTTTGGGTCTAAGTGATATGAGATAGCAAATGACAAGGGCCTAGATTACCTGAACTGGTAGGAATTCTGAGAAGGGAAGTGGATCAGTTGGTAGCTTTTGACCTTCCAGGAATTTTGAGGCTATTCTATTCCAAGTTATAGGCTTGGCCGGTCTTTGAACTTGGACTTTTTTTCTTAAAGAACCACTCCTTTGATTCATAGTTGAAATTAAGCTAATTTCTTTCAACCGTCAAGGCTTTTCAGTTACTGTAAGAT